TTAATAGGTGATCATATAACCTTTTGAAACAAAGGTAGCTGTAGCCTACGCAAAATGGCTCTAAACAACTCTTCGGAACAAAGACACGATTACCATTCCTGGAACAGACCTGTAGAAGCATTTGTAGTTAAGGTTACAGGCGGGTAGAGCACAATCCTTGAAAAAGAGAGGGTTAATCATAAACAGGAATGAACCTAGCTTGTCTTTACGGTGGAGCAGGCTGGTTCCTCAGTTCACAAGTATCTAGAACTCCTTCTGATCGCCTTGTACTGCATATACATATAATTATGCTAAACATTCATACACATAAAATAAATGTAGAGCTGGAGAGATGGCTCAGTGGTTAAGAGCATTGCCTGCTCTTCCAAAGGTCCTGAGTTCAATTCCCGGCAACCACATGGTGGCTCACAACCATCTGTAATGAGGTCTGGTGCCCTCTTCTGGCTAGCTGTATACTAAATAAATAAATAAGTTTAAAAAAAATGTAAACAAAATTTAAAGAGGACAGTGATGCTACAGCGTTCTGACCTCAGACCTGTTCAGTGTGGCTCAGAATCATCTCAACTGTCTGTTTTTCTCTTGCTCCCTCCACCTCTGTCTTTTCTTTCTTTAATTTTTGTGGGGGAACCCAGACGGCTGTCAATGGCCTTCAACTTCTAATCCCTCTCACTCCACCTCATGGGTGCCAGGATTACAAATGTGCACCCATACATTGTGTAGGTGTGGCTGAGGGTCTAACCTTCCTGTGTGCCAAACAAGTGCTGGACCAGCTCAGTTACATCCCCAGCCCTGTTTCTATGTATTTGCTGTTTTTTGCCTTTGTTTTTGAGACAAAGTTTCTCTGTGTAGCCCTGGCTGTCCTAGAACTAGCTCTAACCAGGCTGGCCTCTAACTCAGAGACCTGTCTGCCTCTGCCTCCCAAGTACGGGATTAAAGGTGTGCAGCACCACCACCCGATGTTTCTGGTTTTCGAGGAGATAGGGTAGGTTGCACTTTAGCCTTGAACTTGTAATCCTCCTGAAGCGACACTAACCTACTGGAGCCTGTGACTCTGGCAGGCCTTGATCTTCTTCCAGTTCCTTCTGCCTTGCTAAAAACCATTAGATGACATTCCTAAAGCTAGCCACCAAGGTCTAGTCCCTTATTTGGGCACTTACTTCCTCCTGAGACTGAACACCAAGGTCCAGCTATCAAAGTAATATAGTTTGGCAATCAGAAGCCCCCTTTGGCTCACCTAATTAACATGCCCAATTAAAATTAAACACCTCATCCTAACAAGGGGCTTCCCCTTGTACCTTTATAAACCGCTATTTCCCTGTGTATCATGCCTGTATTCTCTCTATCCAGAGGCAGTTCTTTTTCCCTCCGGGACAAATACCCCTTCCCCTTGTCCCCTTCCGCTTATGCCCTATCTCCTTTACCATCACATTCTAGCCTGTTCTAACAGACCTCCCTTTCCCTCCTTTTAAAATGACCCCTGCAAGGTCCTTGCTGCTGTTTTCTGCCAGAGTCAGGAAGCAGCCACTTTAACTTTTCTTCCCTCTTCATTGAGGGTCTCTCTGTGAAAACAGGTATAGGGTGTGATTTTTGCCTAATCTGGGGTACAGGAGGGAGCCCCTGCTGTGTGGGGGTGGGGGATCTCCTTCACCTCCCCCTCAGCCTTCCCTGTGCTGGATCAGCAGACACAGGCCACTGGGCCCCTGCCTGCTCTGGCTTTCTGGAGTTAAAATTGGCCTGGCTTAGAAACTTAGTCTTATTTATTTGTCTATTATTTTTAGTATGAGTCTTTTTAGGATGGTTTTCCTGTTTGGGCAACAATGTGACAGATGCTCGGGGTCTGACTCCCACACTCTCCCAACATGGGCTGTGGCCCTGAGGCTGCAATCCCTGCTCTCAGGCCAACGATGGAATGCACAGAGGCCCTGGACTAAGCACCAGTCAACATCATGAATGACAACTATCCTGATGCCTGGCCTACCTGATTCAGGTCTTTGATAGAGTTAAAGACAGGCATGGGTGGATATCCATGGACAAGGGCACAACCCAGACAGAGAGGGATCTTTTTAGTTAATTTGGTTTTACTTTTTCAGACAGGTTCTTACATAGTGCAGGTTGAACTCAAACTCACTCACTAGCAAAGATTGTCCTGGAGATGATCCTCCTTCCACTGCTCCCCATGTGCATGGATTAGAGGAATGTGCTACAGCGGCCACTCAGACAGAACTTCAATGGCATCTCACTTAATTCTTAAAAGCTCTGGAATAGCAGTGGTAAACAGCTATCAGAG